AGGGTCTTCTCTTATACATCCGTTGTAGGTCATGGTTAATGAGTCGAAATCACACGAGAGTGCACTAAGATGTGGAGGCTTCTCCACAAAAAGGTTGTGTATTGCAAGAACATATATATTGAACTGTTTACAAAATGAAAGAGTCAGATTGTGCTTGGAGTATTTTTGTGGTATAAGGTGAACACCTCTTCAAATTATTCTTTCACTACCATTAACTTCTACTATCGCGAGGTTTACCTATCTCACATTGCGTCATCTCTTATGTTGTAGGGTTTAATGGTTTGATTGCTCTGGCAATTTTGTATTGTGGGGGGATTGTGTGGATGTGTTCCTCCTTTAGAACATCTGGACACTGGTTAATAATGTTTTAAAATTGTTGCAGAGGATTAATCTTTTAAGGCATTCTGATTTTCCGTTCATAACTAATAGATCTTATCAATGTGAATTAACATTTTAGGCAGTGATACTAGGTTGTTCTTGTGGCTGGAACAAAGGGAAAATGGTCAACTTTTGCTTTTCTTTCCAATATTATACGAGCAGAAGGATATACATATAGTTGTTATTCTTGCTAGGTAAATATTTAACTTTGGATTAAGTATTTTATGTCTTCAGTTCAAATCTTTCATGATTACTAACATGGGCCTTTCTTCTTCTTTTTTTCTGTTTAGTCCACATATTCTGCGTTTCGAAGACCGCATTCGGTGTAATGGAGATCCTGTCTCTGCATCCACGCCTAATGATCTTTTCAAATCAGTCAAACCGATCCCTGATCAGTCTTATTCAAGAGGAAAATGGTTCTTTGAGTCATTTTGAGGTTACTAATCAAGTTTTGCCTAAGATTTAAGCTCTACACAATTTTTCTTTTCTTTTATAGATTATTTCTTTTGGCAGATTCTCATTGGGCTAGCCTTTTCATTATTTAAAAAATAAAATGTAGCCATTGCGGTGATAGAGGTTGGTAATTTCTGGTTATCCTAACTTGCTTTCGATATTCTATAGTACTCTATAACATTTTTGGGGTTTTCCGTTGGTATATCTCAAATTAGATGTTGGATTTATGGTTGCTGTTCTTCTCTTTTAAATTCAGAAACGGTTTGATTCATAATGGTGAAGTTAATAAAATTGGAGAAAACTCTTTGCAGAATTCTATTATTGACTGTGCCATGAACATTTCTGTTTGCAGGTACATTCAGGGTCGGACATTGATGAATAACTATGCACATATATGTGATCTTCTCACCCGTTTGAGGCAGGTTAGTGGCATTTACATTTCTCTGGTTTAAGTAACTAGCCAATGCCTTTTCGGATAATCTTAATGTGTATGTTTGTGATGTGTTTTCTCTGCAGTTTTTGCAGGCTGTTGATCACTCATTCTTTGGACACATATTACTCTCTTTTTCCCCTTTTTTCTTATCTTAGTGTTCCATGTAGTCGCTACATATGTCTGGTTTTCTTTCACTTTATCAGAATAAATCTGACAGTGTTTGAATACTTGAGATCTTCACTGATGCCGCTTTTTGAAGCGCCAAAAGTTAGAGATAGAACAGCTGCATATGAAGTTTCAGGTATAATCACTTTTTTTTTTTGAGTTTCAACTACGAATGGGGACAATACTAACATTAGTAATTTTTGTTAGGATCTCATGCTCAAGTGTTGGAACAAGAGATATTAAAGTTAAGCAATCAGATGCTTAAGGTAAGTTTGTTTTCACAAAGTATGTTCACAAAAAATTAGAAGAGGGAATCAGAGCGGAAAAACAGGAAATTGTGAAAAGTTCCTTACGTTCATGTTGGAGCTCTGATGAAGCTCTTCTTTTACTTGCTTGCTGTAGTTGATACACCCCAACGTTCCATAGTTAAGTGGTTTGGTGATGAAGAGGATCTTGTTGGAGACGATGATGGAGATGAGGAGATAAAAAAGTCATCTAACTTCCTTTGTTTCGATTATTATTTTGATGAAATTTATCTGCATCTATGCTATTATGCCCATGTAAATGTCGTATCCTGAGACAGAAAATTGTCGGATGATGGAAAATTGTTGGTTGATTAATTGAATTTTTTAAATCGATTTACCATGGCTCAGATTCAACGTCCACTTCAAAGTCAATTAATTTTGATTAGGCGATAGCAAGCAATGGCCTTGGTTTATATAAGAAAACCCTGATTGTAAAGACTACCTTTCACCTTGTTCTCAATCATGTTTGTTCTCGAACTTATAGGTTCATTATTTTTTGGCCCTCTGTGTGTTTTAAGGTGTTATAGGTCAGTAGACAGCAGCTTCCTGGTTTGTTTCAGAGCTGTGGAGATGTTGAAAAAATCTTATTCAAGAGAAAGGTGCGAAAGAAAAGAATCAACCAAGAGAAACAAATCTAGAGCCTAAACCAAACACTTACCATGTTTTCGTTTGTGCAATGTGACATGCCTGAGTCAATATAGTCTTTGATTCTCATCTAAGGAGTAAAAGCTGAGATAAGGTTTAAAGAGAGTGCAAAGAGTGAAGACAGAGAGAAAAGAAGCAATAAAAGCTCGATAACCATGTCCCTTGTGGCCGTTTTTGCTAATGCTACGAGCAAGTATTGTATCATAAAGAAAACCCTTCTCTGTCATCTTTCTATTTTTCTCTCAAGTTACTACACAGCTTTTTTTTCTTGTGCCGCAAGGAAACTCGCAAAACAGAGTTCGAGTCGCTAATGTAAACAGATTATTCATGGTAGGATAAGAAAATATTTTTTTATTATTGCTTTCGTTAATGGATCAATTTTTTTCAACGAGGGGATCAATTATTGGATCAATAAAACATCATTTTAACTCAAAGGACTCTCAGTAACTTTGCTTTGTACGGTAATAAGCCTCTCGGTTTGGAAGGACTATGGCCAGAAAGAGAATTTCAAACAAACCAAGGAACTCATCCTCCAAGATACGGAAAACATTGTCCTTTAGTTTCTTTCTTATTGATTTTACGGTGGGAATAATGATATTATGTGATCGTATTCCCCATCTGTTTATGTATCCGAGTGTCAAAAATTGTTATTTACGAGTTTTTAGATCAGAACACATTCAACAAAATAGCCCAAGAGACTCTTTTAAAAAAAACTATAATATTTAGTGATATACCAACCAATTTGACATATTTTCATAGCATTTCAGCAACTTTTAACAGACATGCTTCGTTCTTTTTAGGTTCATGATTTTGGTTTTCTTGGGTAAAATTCATATTTAAATCAGAATACACTTAGAGGAAATTGACCTACAATTTCATTTTAAATACAAAAGTAGACCCCTTATCTCATGTTTAGCAAAAGTAACCCAAGGGGTAGTGAAATTACAATTACACCACTTATGACAAAAAAAAAAACGGAGGCCACAATTACAGTTTTAATCCTCGAGAAGTCTACATTGTACTAGAGAAATCTACTCTATTAGTAGACTTCAAATGAAGTCTACTTTGGACATTTTGTAGATTTCAATGGAAGTCTACTTACTAATTATATATGAAATTTAAATTTATAAATTAATAAAAATTAGTTTGATTAAACATTTGTATTCCTGACCAAAGTATAAACAATTGTGAAGTATAAAAATTAAAATTTCACAAATTAAATCGACAAAGAAAATTAGGTTATAGATGTTACATATTAGTAATGAAATGAAGACTAAACTTATACATGAGATAACAAATAATCTTCTTCATAACCATGTGTTTATATACTGATGAAGTCACATGTTGGTAGTTATTGTTTTTTTGATATTTATATGGTTGTAATGACTTAGGTTTAGGGATTCATATCTATGGTTTAGGGTTTAAAGTAAAGAACTTTGTAGAGATTATAGTGTAGAGTTTGATTTCGAAGGTTGAGTTAGCTATAAGGTGATGTTAAATTTGTAGTTATGTCTACTAATAAAAGTCAAAGTTCAGTCAAATGCAAAAATAACCTCGATTTTTGACAAAATAGACTTCAGTATACTTAGACTTCAGATGAAGTCTGCTCTATAAAGTCAAATTTTTGGTCAAATGCAAAACTAACCTCACTTAAAGTAGACTTCATATGAAGTCTACACACGTTTTTTTTGTTTCCAAAGGAAAACGCGCAGACTTTATATGAAGTCTACTTTGGACATTTTCAAAAATGGTCAATTGCAAATATAATCTCTCCGTTGACCAGTAGACTATAAAATAAGTCTACTTTCGCGGAGCAGATCTGAAAATGGGCAAAAATCAAGTAAGTTACCTTTTTCGCCGTTCAAGCTCGTTTTTAGCTTCGTCAACCACCTGAAACTTCGAATCTCACCCGTAACAAAGAAGCCCAGGCGCCGTTATGCAAGAACCATTGAAATTCGTTAGGTTATGAGAGAAAGAATTTTGAAAATGAAAATTAGAGAGGTTTTTGGATGAAATTGAAGAGAAAATGAAAGATTATGAGGTTAAGAGCTCAAATATTTAGCATTTAGAGCTCAAAAATCAGTTGGGGAAGCATTTAGACCTCCAAATTGGTTGTTCATGGTGGTTGAGAATATTGATGAAATGACATTTTCGTGAATTCGTTGCTTTCTTATGCTTTTTGTGTCTTTTTGCTAATTTCAGAACTAAAAAAAAATTCTGAATATAATGGTATTTTCGTGAATATGTGAATTTGGTAGGGGATATGTTTGTGAGAAAGTGGCAAAATATGAGGAGAGAGGAAAAGTGAGTTAGTTTTGCATTTGACCCCAACTTTTGGATTATTTGTGAAACAGTCCCATACATTTATGGTTTATGTAGAAATATTATGAACTTGGTTTTCTTGTTTTTCAACTGAAAGTTTTTTTGCTAAGCTAGTAGTTCTAATTGCTTTACTTAATCTTCTATTCTCACCGACCACCAATTAAAGCTTCCATTTGGTTATCAAAGAATTATATATTTTTGGAAGATTTAAAAATGAGAAATTAGCATGTATATTAGTCTCTCAACCTATAATAAATTATCTAACATCCTGTAAAATCTAATGTAGTAACTAGCATTTAGGTTAGACTAAATTCTGATTTTGCCCTCCTATAATTAATACAGATTTTTACAAATTAAAAACTAATAATAAAAACTTTTCTTTTATCCAAAACTTTACTTTACAGAATTCTCATGACATAGCTAATTATATTATCCATTAACAAGAGATAGTTACATGTTACATAGTTAACTATATTTACACAGTAATCATGACATAGANAACTATACNGTCTATTNANAATGGATAGTTAGCTANACGTGTTACATAGTTAACTATATNTACACAATACTCATGACATAGCTAACTATACTATCCATTAACAAGAGATAGTTGGTTATATGTGTTAAATACTTAATTATATATAATACATTATTCATGACATAGTTAACTATACTATCTATGGACACAATAACCACATATGAAAACTCGTCCTGCTTAGGTTTGAAATCCCGAACACCAGTTTCCAAAACAACCCATTCACCCAACATCACAACAACCATAGTCCTTTTTGCCATCTGAAACAAATAGTTAACAACGGTATTAGAATTATAGATAACTACAACAACATAAAAAAAAATCGAATATAGTCAACTATATGTATTTCTCCTCGTTTTTGAGATCCACCGCCAACCTTGCTTTCCATATTCTTCACCATTGATTTTTATGAATATTTATTACCAGCAATAATTACTAAATTTAATATGGGCAAACTTGTCCAAGTATTTCTTCTCTATGCTATTCACCTAAATTTTTTTATGAACATATTAGTTTCTTAATTCATTGTTGAAAACATAATATTGAGTTAATTAACCCTTTAAAAATTGTGTTATACATTCGAATATTACTATACAGTAATATCATTAGCTT